AGATGAAGAGAAAAAAAGAAGGGATGAAAAGCAGGAAGAAAAAAGAAGAAGCGAAGAAGAAGATAGGAAAGGGAAGATTTTTTAATTATGTTGAATTTACAATAGCTGAAAAAGATTAAAAAGTTGTAATATAAAAGTGGAAAAGTATCACGAGGAGAAAGTAGCAATATGAACCGAACGTTAACAACACGACATATATGTGCATGCTGGGTGGTGCAATTGTTGTAGAAGAGCGTGTATCAGATGTTGACACAGGGCCATAGTAAGAGAAAAATACTTAGAAAGCTGGTATGTATTTCTGTGCACAAATGTGTTAACCAGACGATTAATGTTTATGAGAAGAAAATCCTTTATACGAGTAATGGAAGAGAAGACGACGAACGGATGTGATAAATCCTTGATAAGTGGATTCGACAATTAAGTATCTATTGAGCTGACTGTAGACGATACCGCTGTGAATAGAGGGGTATAAATTGCTGCGAAGAGAGGAGTATTTAATGATAGGGAAGGTGAAAAAATCGGTCTTGCAGTAAAGTGAAGAAGCGATGCGAGCATTGCTGTCTATGGATGATGATGGCACCTGAATCTGTACATTCTATGTCTAGGTCCTGGCCATATTTGCTTGGCCGAAGGGATAGAAAGTCCGGGCAGTTGAGGACTAAAATGTCATCGACATAGCGAGGGAGGAGAAGCGTGGGACTAGTAGGAAGTCTGCTGTATTTAAATACAAGTGCCGACAAAATGAGGCCGGCAGTGTTGGAACTGGCATTGCCACCCATGGGGACGCCTTTAACTTAGTGAAAGATGTAGCCAGCGAAGTGTACGTAGGACTCGTGCACGACGGAACGGAGGATACCATCTATTTCCGCACGAAAAGAGCATCGGATTGAGTGTTATGAAACAAAGGGTGAAAAGATAGCTGAGGAAGTAACAGATTACGTGATACGCGAGTTTTGTGAAGAGGGTGGAAAAGTCTGCTGTGTGTTAGTGATTAACAGGTCTGCACTCGCTGACGAAGGATAGTACCTCGCTCGAATTACGTACACTATGAAAGAGGCACTTGCGTAATCTGCGTTGTGCAGCAGCCGCGTAGCTAAGTTGGTATCCCCAATGGCAACGAAATGCTGAATGCATTGTTTTGTGGTCCGCCATATCCGCTCATCCACCCTTTATTGTTTTTGCTTGTTCTTCCTTCGTCCTTTTTACCGTCGTTATCATTACCATCCACTAGTCAGTGTCGCACTAGTCTCTATTACGGAAGCCTCATAAAAATCATCGAGTTGACTGTGACGCGAGCACTTCTTGCTATTTCCTGAACGGTTATAAGTGAATGTCGACCGAATGTGATTGATTTTTCCTGAAACCAAAAGAATGGTGGCCAAGCACCTTAAAAAAAAATCTTTTCGATATTAAAAAGCGTGCAGCTCTTCTCTTCGAGTACCTAAAAATGTGTTGGGTTTGTATTTTGGATGATCGTGTGGTCTCTGTCTTAGCCTAGGGAGAGGGATTTATAGAATTTTTTTTTTTTTTGAGAAAAATGCGTTTCTTATCGTTCAAGTTACACCGAAGTGTTATAGGAATAGTGACGGAGAGTAGTCGATGCATGGCCAGTGTAGGAATGCTAGGTCTGGCTTTTCGTTCATCTTTAACATTTATCATTTATTGATCACTGGGGTGCCCAAGCAGTGTTTTATCATTGTTACCCCGTTGCGTTAGCAGTGTTCCTATTGTATGAACTGTGCAGTTGCTGTGAAAAGATATTTGTG